GACGGCATGGGCAGCTTTGTTTTTACGGAGCTCCGAGTAAAGAGGGGATCGATATCCGGTCGGTCTGCCGGTGGACGATTGGCAGGCAACAGGTTTACACTTAAACTGTTTTCAGTAGAGGAAGTAAAGAAACCGTAACTCAGGATGTATTTGTTGTTTGAGGTGCTAGACTTGACTCAGCAGCTTTAAGACATCAAGAAACTATGATTTTGTTGAACATTAAGGCATGTTAACGTGTCTCAGGATAAACAAAAAATACAAAAATGAACCTGAAACTTAGCCTTATATTTCCTCCTTTAAAACAAAAAGTATTTAAGCAATAATGCTGGTCATATGTATACTGTAACTTATACACACAGAATATCAAAAAAACGCCAAACATTGTGTCTTTTCCATTTAATATCATTACTGTTTATGCAGTAATTAATGCCAATGCCTGCTTAGAATAGATCCCCCTGTGACTCGAGAGAATGAGGAGCTATACAAAGATAAATGCACTTTTAAACAGGAAGGTCATTTATTTTATAAGTCGTAAGAGAATATGTTGTCACTCAGCTTGAATAACCAATGTGCTATCTTTGGGTTAATGACCTTGCTCTTGTAAGTTTATCATGATAAACATTTCCATTAACCTCAGTTTGTGAGGTCACATGAGGGAGATAGCATAAACACTGTGTGGGCTGTTGACTATAAATATGTATAGAAATTAATGTAAGCCATGCGAGAGAAAGGTAACCCCTAGATTCCACCGGGTCCGTCTGCGCCGCGGTTTTGGTCAGACCTCCTCCAGCGTCATAACCCACCGGGCGCCTTTCAGAAGCGTTTCAGAAGCGGAGCGTCTTGCGTGCCGGCTCGCAGTTTTTGTTGATTTGGGCATATTTCCTGGACAGGCTACTTTGTACAGACAAAGTTAATAATAATTGTAATATTCCAGTTATAAACGACATGAATCAAAGATGTGTTGACATATTATTAACATAATTATTCCATATATATATAATTTACACAGTGCCTGTAAACCGGAGGAGAACGCTGGCATTTCTCCTCCTACTTGAAAGACTACGGAGGGATAGGGTCTGCAAAATGTGTTTGTTTTGGGGATTGACTGGATGCTCTGACCGGTCCACTTCCTGCCCGGCGCCGCTGCAACGCGTCGAAAATAGACTTGCATCCTATTTTTAGCGGAGCCCAGCGCCGAGACGCTTCTGGGACACTTCTGGGACGCTTCTGGGACGCTTCTGGGATGCTTCTGGGACGCTTCTAGCCGTAACGCGGGACGTCTTGTGGAATAGCACCTATTGACTATAGTGGCCGCGATCGCTGTGAACGCCGTGGCGCGGCCGTGGCGCGGCCGTGGCGCGGCCGTAGCGCGGCCGTAGTGCGGCCGTAGCGCGGCGCAGATGGACCCGGTGGAATCTAGGGGTGTGAAAGGGCTTGAAGAGAATAGCCTTTGAAAACATTTAAAAAATAACTACTTTTGTTTTTCTTAATTATATATTTAGTATTCATTGCTGTTCCAAATGCCTTCCAATCTGTACTGTCTCTCTACATGTATGACAGCAGGGATTTTAAAACTGCATTGATACAATATGGGATGGATGTTACGAGTTACTACATTGCTTCATGGCAAAAAGGAAAGAAAAGGATTGAAACAACAAAACCAGCAGAGCAACTGTCAAGGTGTGAAGGAAACACGGCGTCCGTTTAAAATGCACACTGTCAATCATTTGAACGAGAGATGAGTGAATCAATATCTTTGTAAGACATTTCTTCTGGTAGAAATATCAAGTCTTCATTGTTTGCCTTGAGCTGAGAAATGATTTAATTGTTTGATGTCTTGACTGCAGCGGGGGTTTCTCTGTAATGTATCCTCTTCTCACTTTTTATTTATCTTACTTCCACTCCCAAAGCTCCTCTTATTTCCCTCTAATTCTCATTTTATTTATTGTGCTTGCTTTGGCTTTTTATTTTTTTGCACCTTGAATCCTGTTCTCCTCACACTTAGCCGCTTGTTATGTTGGTGATGGAGTATATTCAAAGCTAACTTTACTGCTGTTCTCATGGTAACTTGCTCTCGAGGGCAGATTTGGCTACAGGCCTAAAACCTTAGAAATGTAGATGTGTCAATTCCCTCTGATCAGTCCAGTGATTTTATTTTTCTTCGTCTAATAGTGCAAACATTTCATGGCTAGCTTAACATAGAGAGGTCTGCAACAGGCACTTGAGGCTACAAGGTAGCAGGTTTGATTGCAAATCAGATAAAGCTGGATTGGTGCTGACAGTAGCATTTCAGAGACAATCAATGTGTGTAATATTTACATTTTGAAAGCATTATATTGCTTGTCTTCAGGGGTGGAGGGTGTGTTTTATGAGTATAAGATCAATCCATGTTTATTTGTTGTTGTCCATTCCCAGTGAATGCCACATCAATTCAGTTTATTCAATTAGTCTAAGCAAAAGGAGTGAGATATTTGAATGCTCCTCAAGTCATACAGTCATATTGATGTTTCTTGAGGACTTCATGAGCAGACAAACCCTTTTAAACCGTGCAATTCAGCATTAATATCATATTTATATTAATACACCACTGAATACAATGTAATATACAAGTTATATATTACACTCTGATACTTAAACTTCTTATGTTTATATAAATAATCAATTTTATTTTATCTTCATTCCATGTTTTACTTTAAAATATTTTGTTTAAATACATTTTTGCATTCTATTTTATTTAATATTTATCTGATAATTTACTTACTACGTATGAATATTGCATTTTTTTTAAATTCTATCTTTTATTAACATTTTCTAACTTTAACTTCTTATTAATATAAATATTTGTATTCCATTTTATTTAATTGACATTTTTTAATTTAACTTCTCATGTTGATATAAATATTTTGTATTCTATTGGTCTTTTTCTTAATTTGACATGATTTACTTCAATTCTTAAGTTTATATAAATATATTTATGTTATCTTTTAATTGCAATTTCCTACTCTAACTTCTTATGTTTCTATACATTGTTAAGAATAGTTTTTCCCCATATTCTATTCTAATATTATTCTGATTTAAAAACATTATTATAGCATGGGGCTCCACATCCATATAACAGCAATGTATATACTGGACTGTGCTTTGAATAACACCCAGGTCCACTCGGCAGCTATATGGGAGGAGAGCAGCATGCTATATCTCTGCCACTGTCCTCATCAGTAGGCCTGCGGTGTTGCTGATAAAGGTGTGAGCAATACAGAGAGGCTGGGGATGCTTCACTGCAGCCGCAGCATCCTCTGTGCTCGGCCTGATGTTTTTGATGCCACAACCATACTCTACTGGAGACTCTACAGATGTAGTGTATGCTTCATGCACCTCTATACACCCACTGTGAAAGGTAAGCCAGCAGAACCGGGGAAAAATCAAGTGTTGTGGGTTTTTGTTTTAGTTTTTCTTGTTCAAGGATGGAGAATCTCAAGAAGCAGGGGAGGCAAAGTCTCAGGATTCTTTTCTTTTGGAAAGTAAAAAACACTTCAGGCTCCCTCTTATCCTTCATCCAACATGGGGTTCATTGATACTCTGAAGGATATGCTTGAGTGTCAAAAAGATAGACATATTTTCCTACACTCATCTTCGTCAAACATTTAATTGAGTGTCTTAAACCTCCAATGACTTCCTTTGAAACCTTGGATTTGTATGTGCTGATGCTTCAAGCGATGGCCTCTAGGATCCAAGAGGCCACAACAATATAATTGGAGTTACACTCAAGCGCAGTACTAAGAGACGTACCGCATGCACAACATAGCCAGAATAAAGTGTGTGTGACAAGGAAGAGCGCTCAAGGCGACACGGAGAGAAGGAAAGGCTGAGGAAGAGGAGACTGGGGGGGTGAGTGGGTTGAATATGCGTGCCGTCATGGCCAAATAAGCAGATGAATGTGCTCGGTAGTCCAATCGCTGAATTTGCCACTGGATGACAGCACGCATTGATTAACCCCAGAAAGGAAAATGTCCCTTAGTGTGGTCAGACAGCATAGTAGACTTAAGGCTGGGCAGAGAAGAGCAAGGGTTGGAGGAAAGATGTTGGGAAGATTAAAAAAAAGAACTGTGCTGCTCCCTGCTGGGCAGGGTGTGGCCATTATTTTTCTTCGTGGATATTGACCACTGCAGAGACTACACAATAAATGAGATATCAAAAATAAGAGCCTTACAAATTGGTAGTACAGAATTTAAAGGGGCCCTACTATTCTAATATTCAGGTTGATATTTGTGTTTTTCTGCCTCTACAGTGACATGTTTAGATGTGCAAAAAGAACTTTGTATTTATTATACTGCCTGTGGTGCAGCACCTCTAGAGCCCAGTGAGCTCTGATTGGTTAGATGGCTGGCTCTGTTGTGATTGGTCAACGGCTTGGAGATGTCCCACCCCTAAGCCTATCATGTACAATGTGTTAGAGCGCTTGCCAATGGCAGCCGGAGTGTTATGCAGTGATGTCATTATGTTAGAGAAGTAAACAAAGGAAGCCAGTGGAGACATTTCAGGCAGGGGGGGGAGTGTGTGGGAGAGAAACTGCCTCTGGAGGGAACTTTGGGGTTTGAGCCTTTGTAGACCATTTACATGCACACAAACCTATATAACACTACAGGAAAGGGAAAATCCCACAAACCATAATAGGGCCCCTTTAAATTGGATTCTAATGTTTTTTTCCAATACTTGGGAACAGAGGTTATTAATTCAACATTGTTTAAAAAGTTTGCCTCTTTCCTCAGCACATCAACTCTAAATGACCCAGTTGAGAGTCTCGAATGTTCTCTGATTATATAAGTCGTAACACCAACTGTGCTCTCAGCCAATAGAGAGTGAGGCAAACACTGATGGTAGGTCTGAGCCTCTGACTTAAAACATTGTCATTTCATTTCATTCCATTACATCATGTTGTTTATATAGAAATGGCATGGTAATCCTTTTTCTTTGTGAGTGTGTGTTTTGTGTTTGCTTACGTTGTGCAATCTTGGCCAAGTGCAGACGGTTGACCCAGGAGATCTTACTAAGGGGGTTTGGAGTATTGAGGACCACCATGAAACTGACAGGACGCCCTGACCTGGAAGAGAGCAGACAAAAACACACAGATTTATTGATATTACATTGGAAATGTTTGTCACAAAGTCATCGGGGAACAACAAAGAGTATAAACATTTCTGCTGGTTTAGTTTGACAGATTTCATTTCAGCATTTGATCAGGTCAAACAGTCTCTGATGTTGAGGCTCAGGAATGATCCCGGTGTTTACTAGGATTTGACATCAATATAGAGGGGCAACCACTGCATTGTATTGTGAACTCCTGCATGGTATTGAGAGTAAAGCTGAACCTTGAACCAAAAATGTCCTCTACAGGAAAAGAAAATATGTTCAGGTGTCTTTGTGCAACGCTCTTCCAAACAAATATGTTTTTATACTACTTATACATTTTCCGAATTATGTTGTGCTGAATTAAAATTTCAAAAGGACAACAATATTTAAATAAAAGTCAGTCAAGTTGTTATTCGCCATCTGAGGTAACACAATGATTTAGTCTATCGCCTTTGGGTTTGCAGTATTACGAACTGGATGTCTTTGGTCAAATTCCCAGAAAAAAATCACAACTTTTGCTTACTTGGAAGTGAGATCATAACACACAAGCCATTATCATCATTGCAATTGGTGTTGCTGTAGTGAACAACATTTTATAATTCAATTCCAGGAACTTTAAAAGAAAGAATGTGAATAACTAACCAGAACACATTCATTATTTATTTATTTATTTAATCGTTTATTTGAACCGGGACAGTGCACATTAATGAACATTTTAAACAAAATAATGTTTTTAAATGTAAATGAGCCGGATTTTAGCTTTGAGCTAATTTCCATCCGTAGTCCCGTCACATACAACATTTATGAACATAACATTTATATACATGGCAAACAGAAATACATGATATGCAGAAAGAGCATGAGCAGCATACAAGCATTTACCACAAGGCAGTGCAATGTAGCAGTAACGACATATAAAGTGCAGGAGGAGATAAAAGAGATACATAAAGTGCAAGATGAGATACCCCTGTATTAAAGTGCATTTAGCGGTGATTGCGCGGATGTTTATTTCTCAACCATTCTTTGAGTTGACCTTTGAAGCTATTGAGAGTGGGACAATCCCGTATCTCAGTAGGGAGGCTGTTCCACAATGAGCTGCCTTTAATGGAGAGGACATTTTGTCCAAAAGTGGTCCGTCTACGGTGGACTTCACAGTCTCCTCTGGTTTCTGACCTAGTGCAGCGTCCAGTGTGTTTTCTGTGGATGAATTCCCCTAAGGGAGGGGGGGCCAGTCCATGTAAACATTTATAATAAAAAAAACACATACTTTTAAAAGATATAAAATTGTCAAAACTCAAGAAATTGTGTTTCTCAAGGATGGCACAGTGGTGGTATGAATAAGGCTTTCTGTCAAACACCTTGATAGCTCTCTTGTACAGCTGTTCTATGGGTTTCAGGTTTGTGGCACAAGCAAACGACCAGTTTGTAAAACAGTATTCAATGTGGGATAGAATCATACAGTGGAGGTATGACTTTGCAGCACTGACAGTTAAGAAAGGTCTAATTTGTTTAAAATTTTGCAAGTTGAATTTAACGGTATTGGATACTTTCTTGATGTGTTTCTTAAAAGTTAAGTTTGAGTCCAGTATGACTCCAAGATACTTGAACTGGGGGACTAGTTCTAATTCTGCTCCGTTTAAAAACACATTGGATCCTTCGATTTTGACTGGTCGTTTACTGAACATCATGCATACTGGTTTTTTTGCATTTAACTGTAAGCAAATGTTGTTCAGCCAGTGTTGAACCTTGTCCAAATTATTGAAAAATTGAAATACGTCAGCTTTGTAAGGAGCACTTGGTGGTTAACAGTGTCAAAAGCCTTCCTGAGATCAAGGAACACAGCACCTACATATGGGCTCGTGTCCAACATAGATTTAACCTTTTCCACAAAGACACAGTTAGCTGTCTCAGTGGAGTGGTGAGCATGAAAACCAAACTGCATTGGGTGGAGTGGAGCGAAGCCTTTGTCTAAATGTTTGGTGATTAGTTTTGACACCCATTTCTCAGCTATCTTAGAGATACAGGGGAGGATGCTGATTGGTCTGTAATTGGACATAATTGCCTTATCCCCAGATTTAAAGATCGGTAGCCACATCATAACATGAAGCCATGCCCTAAAGCAAATACTGCTTATTCATTTATTTTACTCTTAAAGGGACGATAACTTACAAAATGAACAATTAAGATGCATTAAAACAAGCATTTGAGACAATTAGCACATTAATGAAATGTTTTCTGAGTGAACAAAATCAAGTTAGAAGTTAGACTTCTATACTTTTTGCTAAGAGTTGAGTCACCCCCTGCAAACCATTTGAAAAAAGGTACATTTTAGACACATACTGTATAGCAAGGTCCCATTTTCTGAAGAAAGACATTGAATAAATTGCTTGTCAATACCGGCAGATACCTTAAATGTCAACTAATGTTGGAACTCAATGTGTAGTGCACCATCATGCTAGTTGGCTTAACCCAGTTAACTCAATGGACAACAGACAACGATTTTTATCAAATTGGTTTCCGCCAGTGTTCAACTGAAGTTGAGTTTGACAAAAAATCTACGAGAAACGAGTCCTTCTCACAGCAGCGTTCAAGCAGCCCTTTACTGCCGATTCAGATCACGCCAAAAGAAAAACAAATGCATCAGCATCTATTTGCAGTTATTCGTGAGTAGTAGTGCACAAGTAAAACGTAGGATGTCAAAGTTAACAGAAGTTGTTTTATGTGAGTCAACAGTTGTTGCAGAGGTTTTAATATGAACAAATCAGATGAGTGGAGTGTTTGCCCCAAAGGAGCCTTGTGCTAATCTTTGCTTTAGGCTACAGTAGTGGCTCAAGGCTACATTAGTTGTTACTATGCTATCCAAACGCATCAACATCTGGTTGAGTTTAATTGTTGGTAATTGGGGCAAAAGGTTGTATGAAATACAGAATATTTTCAGTTATGCTGCTTGTATGTTGATCTTTTATTTAATGTTCATCAAGAGTCCAACAACAGTGATGATGTATTAGATAATGAGGTATATCCTTGAATTATTACAGTAAACAATTTTCTATCCAAGTTGCTTCTTCCAATAATTTAATTATGCCAAATCACCTGCTTACACGTTATTGATGTGGAGAAATTGTTAATATTGCACTATGGAAATATCAATAAAACAGAGTGGATAACCTGTAAGCAATTACAAATGTGCAGGCTGTTAGAAAAGAGGATTGTGCAGATATTTAAGCCTCCATTGCCAAAAAGGAAAATAGCAGAGGGACATTATACAGGTCGAGCTCCAGATTCAAAAGACATGATTGCAACATGCATTGTTTTCTCTATCCATGTAACAACAAGCAGAAATGACCTCAGAAAGAAACAAACCGACGCCTATGTATTAAATTGAAACTATTTAGCCTTCATTTTAAAACATCTCGTCCTACTTTCTTCTGAACATCAGGTTGACTATACTACAGGGTTTAATATCACAACAAAATGGGAAGTGCTATACAAACCAGAAAGAGTCAGAGAAACAGGGCACCAACAAGGAAAATACAGTTTTCATTTCATGGCACTTTAAAGGAGAGGTGTCATGCTTTTCCGGTTATTACCCGTCCCCTTGTGTGTTATGAAGGTTTTTATGCATGTGAACGGTGTGCAGAGTCAAAACCCTCAAAGTACACCCTGTAGCGAGTAAAACTCTAACACAGAAAATACCTCCCCAAAACGCCTCGTTGGAGATACGTCATTGTCCATTTGATTCTTCCGGGACGGCATGATGTCAAGCCGTACCCGGAACGAAATGGACCAATCCGTGGAGCCGTTACGTCCGCGGAGCCGTTACGTGAAGCCCCCGCTGATTGGTCCAAATTGACCAATCCACGGACTTCCTCACACACACATGTGTGTGCAGGGAGCAGGCAGCTCTGCTGATTTCTCCTCCCTGGCTGCAGGCTGATAACAGACAGTTGGGATCGCGGCGAAATTCTCTCTGCAGACCCATTCTCACAGCGTTTATCAACCTTTTTCTTACTGAATATCAAGCCACACTTATTGTTTTTACTTCGGATGTGAGTTTGTGTGTGCTCAGGATGAGTTTGGCTGTGTTTCGCTATGTATCCTAAACAAGGAAACAACACCTCCACGGAGCTCAGAGCGATTCACAACGTCCCGACCAATCAGAGCACACTGTGCTCACAGGGAGGGTGGGGGCTGGAGCTTTGGGAGCTACAGCGAGCCGTTAAAGGCAGAGAGTGAAATTCAGTGAATACAAGTAGTTTACAGAGATGCTGTATGAGAAACCAATGTGAGTTTGGAAAAATGCACAGTATAAATCTATTTTAGTATACCTCAACAATGGAATTATGATCAGTGGAAATGGCCATGACACCTCTCCTTTAAGTTTAATACATCAAGTTGTTTTTTTTCCTGTGTGAACAGCTGCTTGCCTGTTAGCAAGCTTCACAGAGGTTACATTACATTACATTTCATTTAGCTGACGCTTTTATCCAAAGCGACTTACAATTACCAATTACAGGGACATTCTCCCTGGAGTAACTAAGGACTAAGTGCCTTACTCAAGGGCACACTAGTGGTGGTGTGGTGTGGATTTGAACGGGATTTGAACTCACAACCTTCCGATCTTCAGCCCACCTCACTATCCATTAGACCACCACTATCCCCACTATAGGTTCGGTCTAGTGATTGTTGATTTCTGCCTGCAACATCCAGGGAAGGTTGGGACGACCACACCCCCTAGAATCTGGAGAATCACAGAACGGCCGGTCATCAAGGGCCGTTGACGGCCGACGGCCGGCTCGGTTCGCTCACGGCCGGCACCGCCCTTAATGTGTTTTTAAACGGCATCATTGAAGTTGCGCTGTTGACAATTCACGAGCACCCCCCGCCCCCGTTGACAATTTACCGCACCCCCTAAGTAAAATGACTTCCCGCGGCTATGCACCTCCAGGTCACAGTAAATCGCTACCCGCT